GCCTCCCCAACTCATCCCCAGAACTGAATCTCTCTTGTCTCCCAATATGGGAAGAGTTACAGTGAATAGTTAACTGCTGGCCCCACTCTGATAAAAATGTTTTATTTTTAAAACTTTTTTGAAAGAACCGGAACACACATTCTTAATTAAGTAGAAGAGAAATGGTATCTCCCTGGTGGCACGGAGGGTTAAGACACAGCACTGTGAAGCTATTCACAGCCACTGAAGCACAAGTCTGATCCCCAGCCAGGGAGGTAACCCACATGGCGTGGCAGACCTCTCGTGTCTCACCTGCTGCTCCCTGCAGCAGTGTATTTCAGTAGCTCCACTTATCTGGTGAATTCTCTTACCCCCTGCATCTTTGGCTTACACCACAACTCTTGCATACATAAATAAATAAATCTTTAAAATAAATAAATAAGTAGAAGAAAAGATCACACTCTGCCTCGTCATCTCAGATAAGATTCTGGTCAGTTTGGTCTGTTTCTTCCCCTTTGCGGTAAATGTCTCTGCTGAAATGTTGCTTCTTCTTGCATTGAGTTAACCCATCCATTTCCAAAGAGGCAAGAGCCAAAACTTCAATATTTGGTAAAAGGCAAAAGGACTAGCTGTGTTATGTGTAACATGTAGATGAATATCACACACATGGTGCTAAGAAGGAGTCAGACACAAATTCACTATTCTTACTAGCCAAACGGTGGGGACACAGTTCAAAGTTCTTCCCCTGGCAAATGGATGAACAAAGGTAGCCCTCTATCTATGTGATGAAATATTATTCAGTCACAAAAAAGGAATTGATTACTACACAGTATGAATTAATTATGATTAATTATGTGCCACAACCTGGAGGAACTTTAAAAACCCTATGCTATGTAAAGGAGACCAGTCATAAAAGACCACAGGTTATATGATTTCATTTCTATGAAATGTTGAAAGTAGGTGAATTGTAAGAGATGAAAATCACATTAGCATGGCAGCATGCCAATGAGACAGTTGTCCTTTTCAAGCGATAGAAATGTGTTTTTTTTGTTTGGTTTTTTAAAAGATTTATTTATTTATGCATACAAGAACTTGGGTAAAGGCCAGAGATGCAGGTGGGTGAGAGGATTCACCAGATACAAAGTGGGGAGCAGAACAGGCAGATTGACTGAAATACACTGCTGAGAGGTGCAGTGGATAGGTTAGGAGAGGTCTGCCACACCATGTGAGTCACCTCCCTGGCTGGGGATCGAACTCATGCTGCACTGGCTTCAGAACACTTCATCATGCTGTGCTTCATTTAACCTGTTGTGCAACCAGGGAGGGCCCGATAGGAATGTTTTTAGATGGGACTGTGGTGATGTTTACACAACTCTGTACATTTACTAAAAATCACTGAATTGTCCACTTAAAAGCAGAATTTCATGATATTGAAGTAATGCTTTTAAAAATGATTTTAAAAAACTGATGGAGAATCTGATTTTTAATACCACATAAAAATGTTTGCTTTGGAAAGGATATCAGCTACTGACTCTAAAGGGAGAATAAATCTAACTTTTGAAATACCAAATTTTTTAAAAAAATTATTTGTAAGAAAAAAGTTAAAGGCTCTCTGGATAAACAGTTTATATTCATATTTGAGAAAAGAAAATAAGAATGTGGACTGCTCCTGCCCATCCTCACAGCACCCAAGTTTCTATACAGAAAACCCTGGGACAATAGTGTCTGTAAGTGCAGACACTATTCCAGAGAGATTTATAACTTATTTTCTTTAATTAAATAAATTCATGAAATATAAAAATACTAAAATGAGCTCTGTATGCACAAGGAGGAATAAGTCAGTTATAGGATTTCTTAGTTTTCTGCATTTTCTTTTATTATCTCACTGTTAAACAGAAGCATGGGCAACCCAGGTCACTGACCTGGGCAAGGATATCACAGCCCAGAAAACAGGGACACAAGATTCAGATTTCAGCTTCAAATTTCTTTCTCTCTTCCCCTCATCCTTGATACTATTGGCATATAACCTTAAAGTTGTATAATATAGAGATCTGACGTATGTATAAAATGCACAATAAATCCATCATTTCACATACATACAGTATTTTTTTCTCATGATGAGAACTTTTAAAATCTACTCTCTTTGCAACTTCTAGATGTGCAGTTCCAATATTTATTTATTTACTTATGCATACAGAACTGGGGTACATGCCAGAGATAGAGGGGTAATGAGAAAATTTCCCATAGAGTGGGGAGCAAAACAGGCAGACTGACGAAGTACTCTGCAGAGGGGGGCAGCGGGCAAGAGAGGCGAGGTCTGCTGCACCATGTGGGTCACTTCCCCAGCCAGGCATTGAACTCATGCTGAAGTGGCTGTGGCTAGCTTCATAGTGCTGCATTTTAAGCACTGCCCCACCAGGGAGGGCCTGTGGAACTCCAGTATTAACTACAGTCACCATGCTGGACACTATATGTTAATACATCTTTCTTATATCTGGAAGTTTGTGCTTTTGGATCTCCTTCCTCCTCACCCCCACCTGCCAAATTCCAGAATATACTTCTGAGATTCCCATCAGAAATAGGAAGAATTAGGGTGGGTATCCAAAAATCTATCACCTTTTTGGTACACAGACCCAAAGCTTATGTGTCCAACTAGGGGTTTGGCAAGAATATACAACAATGTGAGGAACAATTATCCCTCACACCCCATCACACACACCCACACACACACACACACACACACCCCTGCAGGTTTAGGGCCATGTTAGAGCAAGAAGATTATGTCTCTGGCAAAGATGAGCTCTCTGACCCTCAGTGCTGTCTCAGAGACAGGCCTGCTGAAATGCCTGTTCAGTGGGGTCAGTGGGACCAAACTCAAGTGACTGTAGGCATCACAAGGCAAGTTTTTAAAACATCCAGGTGCCAGGGGTCAAGTGTTAGCTCCACAGGTGGGAATGGCCCACTGTTTGTTGTCATTGTTTTGTGTGTTCATTAGCAAAGATGGACATAAACAGGTTTAGGTGGTTAGGCCAGGGTCAATGGTTCTCAATCAAGAGTGATTCTGTCCCCCAGAGAATATTTGACAATGTCTGGCATCCACTGGATAGAGCCCAGAGATGAGCTCAAAGCCCTGGAATGCACAGGAGAGCCCCCACACCAAGAATGCCTGGATCTGAGTGTCAGATGCAGGGTGGATGCTAGGATAACCCTGGGTTAGAAAGCTCTGGTAAGGCCCTTTTTAAGTGGGGTGTTCCAGCTCTTAGCATGGCCCTCTCTGGGAGATATTTTTAGGTGGGGTCAGTGATGGTGAGGCTGCTGTTCCTCTAAATGGAATTCCCTTGGCCCCTACATGCCCATTATGAGACCCTCTGTTTCTCTCCACCCTTCACATGTGGCCCTCACTCAGTGTAAGTGAAGTTGATCATAGCAATGGGTTTTTCAAATGTTACCAGCACAGACTTAGAGCCAGATTGGAGCAGAGCCTTTTATGTGAAGTAATAAAACAGCAAAGATTGTAAGGTTGCCACCAGGAAGGAATAAAGTGGTCTAAACCAGTACTTATTTGCTCATATTTATTCATTAGCATGGGTAAAACTGTCAAGGGGTGAAGGGTGCATTCTCAGGCACTCCCTTCTCCCCACTTCCCTCATGCAACCAGGAAGCTAACATCCTCTCTCCTTTGCCCTGCCACACAATCAGCACCCAGGGAAAAATATATCCTGAAATTTACTCTCATAAGGAACTGGAGGAGGTCTGGGGACAGAAAGTTCAGGACAAAAAGAGGGCACTGAAGAAGTGACTCCTAACTCTATTGAAGGAGGCATCATGAAGTGGCAGAACTAGCAGAGACGTTGCTTTTCTGCCACATTCCATGTTCAAATCCCAGGTCTGCCACTGAGTGGTGAGAAAATCACTTCAGCTTGGAGCACCTGGTATACTCAACAGGAAACTGAGGCTAAGTCAGAGTTGGCAACCATTGGGGTGAGGGTCAGATGGTCTCCACTCTGAGGCAGGTCTCTGGTGAGCCCCAGGAGGGCAGAGCCTGGGTCTGTCTCCATTCATGGTTTGTCAGCCCCAGGCTTATTTTATTGAGGGTTGCCAGTGAGCACATGGAAAAAAAAATGCTCATCACCACTATGGTCAGGGAAGTGCAGATCAAAATCACAGTTAGATACCCAAGAATATGACCCATATCAAGAAAGCCAGATACAAGTGAAGATGTAGAGAAAAAGGAACACTTGTATGCTGTGGGTAGGATGCAGGCTGCCCTGTCTCTATGGAAAACAGTATGTTGGTTTCTTAAAATACTAAAAATAGATCTAGCAATTTCACTCCTAGGTATCTACCTGAAGCATACCAAAATAGTAATTCAGAAGGATCGATGTGCACTCTTATGTTCACTGCAGCCAAGTTCAAGGACAGAGCAGTGGCTGAAGAAGACGTGGTCTATAGTCACACTGGAATACTACTCAGCTGAAAAAAAAAGATGAAATCTTGTCATCTGAGCCAATATGGATGGACCTGCAGGGGATGATACTAAATGAAATACACCAGCAGGAGAAAAACAAATACCAGATGATTTCACCCATATGTGGAATATAGATAAATGAAACAAAGGAACAAACAAAATCAAAGCAAACCCTATAAATCTGACTACAGAAATGAAGCTAGCAGAGGGGAAGGGTGGGAGGGAGGAACATAGAGAGGAAGGGTCCAGTGGACTCTAGCAAAGGACTGTGGGTGCTTTGGTGGTGGGTGTGGTCTGGCATCCTACTAAATCATGTCTTTCCATCCACATTGTCTCAAATGACAAGATGCTATCTTTTAAAAAGCCGAGCAGTTATATATCAATGTTAACTCAGTAAAAAACAAATAAATAGAAGGATAATCTGTTGAATGAGGAAATTAAAAGGGTAGCATTATTGATGAAAATAGGCCTACAATAGCCCCACCTTTCAAAGCAAGAAATTGGGGCTGGTTCCCTGTGGTCACTGACCTTCTGTTTTTTCTAATCACTCCAGGGCAAAGAAGGAGCCTTTATGGTGCGAGATTCCAGGACTCCAGGAACATACACAGTGTCTGTGTTTACCAAGGCCATTGTGGGGTATGGCTCTGGGGAGCTGGGCTGGCCAAGGGGTAGGAGGGCCCCTGGAAATGGTCCCTGAGGACATCAAGGCTGGGAGATGAAGGGAAGAACTGTGATTGGTGGGAAGGGCCAGAGCTGGGACTGGGTGACACACTCTCCCCCGACTCCGCATTCCCGAATATGGTGCACATTGGAAATAAACATCCCAGCCCTGGGCTTGACAGGTTTATGACTTAATGCCTAGAATAATGAAAAAGATAGTTCCTGGCAAAGCCCATCCTGGCCTTAAATTCTCTTCTAATTAGAAGATTGGTAAGAACTAAGTCATTTAACAATGGCCAGACTCCAATAAGAACTAAGAGAAAATAGACAATAATAATTAAAGTGGGCCAGGGAATGCCTCTATGAGACGGGGGGCAGGGGCGAGATCAGAAGGAAAAGCTGGGGTGACACAGGTGACAGAGAGGTGGCCTAGTTAGGGGTGAGACGTTCCTAGAAAGTACATCATAGGGGGCCTGTCTCTGCCATGGCAGAGGATAGTGGGACTGCCCTGCAGTTCCATGAGGCATGCAGAGAAAGAATGAGAAGTCAGGTCTGCAGGGGGATGTTGCCGAGAGCACCCCAGTTGTAGTGACTCACTGAGAAGACTCCCAGGACCCAGCCTGGAGTCCAGGCCTAAGGTCTATTACAGTGAAAGGATACAAAACTTAATCAACCAGAGGGAAAGGCATTTTGGGCAAAAAATTGTCTCCAAAACCTCACCCAGTGGAGGAAGCAGGGTGTGCTGTGTTCCTCCAGCCAGAACTGCAAGCACAGGGTGAAATGGTGTCTCTGGGGAAGCACCTGGGGACCCGTGCCCAGGGCTGTTAGGGCACCCTTGGCCTACTGCAGAACAAATTCCAAACTCCCCTAAGAAAAGCAATGTTGTATCAAAATATTGTTGATCCAAACAATTGGGAGGCACAAGGAGCTTCCCTTCAGAGTTAGAGCGCAGCCCAAGGACACACCTTGTAGGAAGGGCTTCTAAGCATTGCTTCACAGAGTGAATTAAGTATGCTGACTCTGAGTTAATTCCCTAGAGCGAGAAGGCAAACATGTAACATAGAAAAGAATGCTCCCATTTTGTGGCTGTGGAAGAAGCATCACCAGTCCTGTGATTCTAATGGGGACCAAGGGCAGCCTCTGAGTCCTTCTGAACCCGGCACTCAGGACCAACCTGTCAAGACTGACACGCACATGCTGAAATGTATCTGCCATCCTTGTGAGGGGGTTAAAGCAAAGCCAGTGGAATCTGAAACCAACAGGCCTGTGTGTTCCTTAGTAATCGCTGCACTTATGTTTCCTTTTAAGTGAGAACAGCCCCTGTATCAAGCACTATCACATTAAAGAAACCAACGACAACCCCAAGCGGTACTATGTGGCTGAGAAGTACGTGTTCGACTCCATTCCTCTCCTCATCAACTATCACCAACACAATGGAGGAGGTGAGCTCCTGGTGACGAAACTAGAGAGGGCGGTCCCTTCCGCCCCCAGCAACTCCCGGCACAGCTTGCAGTAAAGGGACAACATGCCCAGTGGGGTGTTTTCTTGTCAGGGAAACTGACCGTCAATAATAAGTATAAGCACAAGTAGACCAGGGTCCCAAATACTCGGTTCTCTGGCCTGCTTTCCATGATCTGATTCCGTTGCTGTGTTACAGGGCAACCCGAAGTGAAGTGGGTTGCCTGTCTGTGGGTCCTCACCCATGAGCTTAAGATTCAACTGGACAGCAGACACACACACAAAAAGGTCAATAATGGTTTGTTTACAACGGGAAAAGAAAAGGAACAACCCAGGGAAAGAGAAAGACAAGTTAACTAGGATGTCCTACCAGTTTTGCGGACTTGGAGCCTCAGTGAAGAGCCAAGCGACCAGCCACCAGCCAGGGGCTCAAGGAGAGAGTCTAAGCCCAACATGTCTCCTTTAACTCCAAAATCCCAAGATGGCCGTTAAACTCCGCCCCCAGGTCCTAGCAGTCCTCCCTCTGGTGTTGCTGGGAGTTGTAGTTTCGGTGTTTGGAGCGGGGGTGGAATCTGTATTTATAGAATTGGTTCAGGACAACTTTTCCCCCAACAGCTGGAATGGTGGCATTTCACCACCCACTCACTTGCCTGCATTTGGGTTCTTCTAAGGGAGGGTGTAATACCAGAGACTGGGCTATGGGCTTTGGTTTCCAGAATGAATGTAGCTTTGGCATCGGGTTGTATTTTCTCCTGGTGATTTTACGTGGGTTTTACCAAGTTAATCTGACTCCCATCTTTCTCTTTCCAACCGCCCCAGGCCTGGTCACTCGGCTCCGGCATCCAGTTTGCTCCTGGAGGCAGAAGGCCCCAGTCACAGCAGGACTGCGATATGGTGAGCAGGCGGGTGGGAAGCCACATTTGCCCAGATTCTCATTCACCTCCCTAAAGGTTGGGGCAAATTCTGGATGGACTTTCCAGTAATCTAAATCCTCACCCAGACTTCAGGTGATTTTTAAAACAGGCTACTGTGTATCTGGAGTTGGTGTGAACAGTCAACATTTGCAGTGTGTGTGAGAGTAAGAAAGGTGCGCAGATGAGCATCGTTGATTTTAGGTATCAGTTCATTAGTGAAGTGTTTATTGAGCACCTACTCTGTCCAGAACATTCTAAATGCTATTAGAAAAATATAAAAAGCAATACCTGAACTTTGTGTTCCACTCTCTTCTACAATGCCTCTTTCGTATTGAGTGTTGGAGTTGGGCCAAGGCCTAGATTATGAACAAGTAGCCAGACACAGTGTTAAACATTTTTGTATGGTATGAAACAGGGTAGGATGGGCCTCCAATATGCTGTTGGATTCCTGGACCCAGTTTCCCCACACCAATTCTCAGAATACAGCACGGTGTCTGACAAATGGACTCAGGTCTGATATCACCGGCCTGGAGACAGTGTCGGGTCCCAAGGTTAAGACTGCCTTCCGCTTGGATGCTGGCTGCAGGCCCCCAGTAAGCCTGTATCTCGCCAACTGGCTATAAATCAGAGGTTCCCAGGACTTCCGCCTCAGGCTCAGCTAATTTGCTAGAGCATCTCACAGAACTAGCAAAACCTGTCTATTCACCCATTGATGCTAAAGAATACTACAGGATACAAATCTACAGCAAGGCTGAAGAGATGTATAGGATGAGGTGGAGAGCAAAGGCCCAGAGCTTCATGCTCTCTCCAGGTGCTCGGTTTCCTCTAAACCTTCAACGTCCACCAACCCAAAGTTCTCTGAAACAACCCTTGCCTCTGGGCATGTATGAAGCCCTCACTACTGAGCATGACTGATTACCCCATTGGCTATTGAACTCAATCTCCAGCCCCTCTTCCCTTCCAGGAAACCAGGGCATGGGACTTCTGGTCTCCCCCACATCCCTACTAGTTTCCCAGCAAACAGTTTTACCAAATTCCCTTCTTTCACATAGCAAGAGACAACTTTACCATGTTCTACACTTAGGAAGTTCCAAAGGGAACTGTAAAAGACCAAATGTGTAGGAGCCCACATTTTGGTCATCTGGGTGACTAAGGAAATACATATGTGTGTGTGTGTGTGTGTGTGTGTGTGTGTGTATTTCGGTCACTGTGTCTCCTGGAACCTGCGGGCATTCCAGCTGGCATCCATTTGCCCAAACTAATCGAGAGAAGGTGGGTGAAAATTTCATTTTGTAGATGTGTGATTTGCAAAGTTCAGCATGTGTCCAGGTCATCTGGGATGCTTGTCACAAATGTTGACTCTTGGACACCCCAATGAGCTCCCACTCATGGGCTCCAGGAAGCGGTTGTAAACAGTCCAAGGTAATCCTGACACAGGTGCTTAGAGGTGATACTTTCAGAAATGTTGCCTTGGGCTCTCCAACCCCAACCTGCACCTTCTCTGGCACACAGTAGTACTCAGTACTGTTTTCTGTCAAGTCTCTGCTTCAAGGAAATAGAAATATAGCCCAAATGTCTGGAAGAGATAGCACCTGTTAAATCTTGTTATGAAAGGGAGATTTTCTCATAACCCTAGTATCCAGGTGTGGCTTTAGAAATGACTACACTCACACGTGCATGAGAAAATCAAGAATCATCTCTTTCCCTAAGCAAGCTGTACTCCTGGGCCAGTGCTCCTGGAATCACCTCATCCTAATCTGGAACTTCTCTCAAAGTGCTGTGTGCACAGCAGGCACTCTTGGTATATGAGTGAGTGTATGAGCGAATGACCAACTTTGTCTTTCTGCAAAAAATACAATAAAAAATATGCAATTAGATCTAGAAAAGGGTTAAAACTTTGAGAATCCTCCCATTCACTTTCTTGAATACAGTAAAGGATGCCGTGTTTTCTCCTCTTCTGTGTCATCTCTCCACATACATTTTTCATTATTTTAAATGCATTCTGTATCTTGTTCATTGAAGGCAAAGGATAATTTTGTATTTTATCTGTGATTATTCTAAGACTAAGGCTTCTACTATGCATCACATTTGGGATATAGTAGAGTCAGCTAAAACTCTTCATAGGGAACACATAGTTTCATGTTCCTCCTGTCTGCTGCTCACTTCCAACGTGGCAAACCCTCTCTGTCTTCCAGGGAAGTGGGAGATCCACCCCTCAGAGCTCACTTTTGTGCAGGAGATTGGCAGTGGGCAGTTCGGCTTGGTGCACCTGGGTTACTGGCTGAACAGAGACAAGGTGGCCATCAAAACCATTCAGGAAGGGGCTATGTCAGAAGACGACTTCGTCGAGGAGGCTGAAGTCATGATGTAAGTGGCCAAAACATAGGCTGCAAAGATGCCCGGCAGGATGTTCGGGACCTTGTTTTTTAAATTCCATTCCAATGCCACATGGTGCCAGCTCCCAGCTTAAGTCCAGTCAAGGCTTTCTGTGACATGGAGAGAAATTCAAACTCCTTGCCAGGGTTTGTAAGACCCACGTGGTGTGGACCTGCCTGCTCCCCAATCCCATTTCCTGCCCTTCTCTCCACTGGCCCATGACTTTGGCTGTATGGTCTCTCTTTATTCTTGGATATACCAGTGAGTGGATTTCCTGCCATCCTTTGGGTCTCAACTCAAGAGACCTGTTTGTGTTTGGGGGAGGGAATGCATTTTGTGGGCACTGAGTCTTTACCATTTCTTGCCTTTTGATCTCCAGGAAACTCTCTCACCCCAAACTGGTACAGCTGTATGGGGTGTGCCTAGAGCAGGCTCCCATCTGCCTGGTGTTTGAGTTCATGGAGCACGGCTGTCTGTCAGATTACCTGCGCAACCAGAGGGGGCTCTTCACAGCCGAGACGCTCCTGGGCATGTGCCTGGATGTATGTGAGGGCATGGCCTACCTGGAGGAGGCCTGTGTCATCCACAGAGACCTGGTGAGTGGGTGCGGGAGACAGGGCCTGTCCCCTTGATGTGCAAGGCTCTCGGGACTGGGCTGCTTTGTCATTAACAGCCACCGACATCTCCCTTCCCTTCTGAAGGGTTCCCTCCTTCACCCACTCCAGAAGGGCCAGTGGGAAAGAACCTTCAAGAACTCAGTTCTGAGCCCCACAGCCACCTCCACCTCTTAGTGTCACTCTCTGAGCTAATGGTCTCTCCTTAAGCTCCCTGTGCCTGTTTCCTCCTTTAAAGTGAGGGAAATGGACACATGCAGGTTTTCTCAAGTATAACTCTAGGATGTTTCAGAATCACATTGGGGAAATCTTCAATCCACCCTCAAGGTCTCCGGGGGAAGGAGATATTCAGGCATATTCATATCTACCTGTCCCCCCGTGTGAGTTGGAAGCCCATGAGAATTTGAGACTCCCTGGTATCTGCTGTTGCTCAAAACCCTTCCCGTGCAAGATCCTGTGATACGCATAAGGGGGCACAACTCTCCTGATGGAGGTGTGATTCTAAGAGGATTAGCAAGCTTGAAACATTGTTATTTTAATCTAGTGAGCAACTGTTTCTTCAGATCACCCCAACATTATTATTACCATGGATTTTTCTTCTGATTAGGATCTCAGCAATGAAGAGTTTCTTATTCTGATGAAGTGTTTGCCTTTTTGGCTCTAGTGACACGTAGGGAACACTAGCAGTCTCTCTGCCCTGATGACAGCACACGGAAGGCAAAGGGCGGGGAGCCGGGAGATGCCCTAATCCCTGATTATCTACCCACACTTCCCTTTCTCTGCTGTTTCCCTTCCCCTCTCCAGGCTGCCCGAAATTGTTTAGTAGGAGAGAATCAAGTCATCAAGGTGTCCGACTTCGGGATGACAAGGTATGAAGGGAAACATTGCGCCCTCTGTGTCTCAGAAGTGGGACTCAGGTCCCCAGGACTTTCTGATCATCTCTCTCCACCCTTCCCAGGTTTGTGCTGGATGACCAGTACACCAGTTCCACGGGTACCAAATTCCCCGTGAAGTGGGCCTCCCCGGAAGTCTTCTCGTTCAGTCGCTACAGCAGCAAGTCAGATGTGTGGTCCTTCGGTGAGTGGCTTTCTGACACCACATCTCTGTGATGCGGGACAAGGGTCCCTGTCTTACTTGTCAAACCCAGGCCACTCCCCCTGCCCACAAATCAAGACACTGAGGTGATAACAGCCCCGGGAGGTGTGGAAGGCCCCTGTTACAGCATTTTTCTTGGAAGTCTTAGGAGGGTGGTTACAAAGGAGACTAATCACTTAGAACTCTGGTGGCAGATCAAAAACTGGAGGATTCAGGGGAGTTTCTTGAGAACCATATTTTGTCCAACATAATATTCCCATACCTGACCCTCACTAAGCACCCTACCTATCCACTCGGCTGTAATTTATTGAGCAGCCACTGCATTTCAGGGCCAAGCTCGGTTTCATGTAGTATTGCATAAGATAGAATGGAATCTTGTATTCTTTTTTTTTTTTTTAAGATTTATTTATTCATATAGAACTGGGGTACAGGCCAGAGATGCGGAGGGTGAGAGGATTCACCAGAGACAGAGTGGGGAGCAGGACAGGGAGACTGACGAAGTACACTGCTGAGGGGAGCAGCGGGCGGGTCAGGAGAGGTCTGCCACGCCCATGTGGTCACCTCCAGGACAGGCAGGGACCGAACTCATGCGGAAGTGGCTTAAGCTTCTTAGTGCTGTGCTTTAACCCGTTGTGCCACCAGGGAGGGCCAGAATCTTGTATTCTTACAGCTGAATTTAAGGGGAGAAAATAATATAAATCATTATTTAAATCATTTTTACCTCAATACAAGTATTACAAAAAAAAAATTGTGTGTGATGGGGAGCCAAGAGAGAAAACAACTCAGAATGTCTGTCCAGACACATATGAAAAATTAATCTGGGCAAAGGAAAAATCAGAACATTTAACTCCAGGAAAAAAGGTATATCTATGTACTTTAAAAATATTGGAATCAATCTATTCTCTAAAGGTTTGAAACACAAAGATTTTAATATAATTACAATAAAGACCCAATTTGTTTCTCTGTATCTAGACAGTAATTAAGTATAGTGCCATAAAAAAACAAACACTGCAGTAGATGTCCTAATTTTGTTTCACGTTAGATTTTTTTCTCATCTGTCTCTCTGTTCAAATGTAGCTTGAAAACTAAAGAAACCTCATTATTACTTAAAGAAGATAAGTGGTTTTTTTTTTCAAATGACAAACTATAAATATAAATACATTTTAGGAAAAACAGATAATCATGTAAAGAAGTCAGAGGTGAGAAGTGCTTTGAATGAAACACATTAATGGCACGGGAAGGGAGAAAAGGTTATTTGGAAAGTCTTATCTCTGAGGATAAGACTCTTGAGCAGAGACCTGGGTGTGAGAGGGAACTGCCCCTATATGAAGACCAGGGAGCAGGGCTCCTGACAGAGGAACCAGCCTGTGCAAAGCCTGCTGTATTCAATGAAAAGGAGGCTCTGTCTTAGAGGAAGAACAGTTGGTAATGACATCAGCAAGTCATGACGAGGAATTAGAATTTTTACTAAGTACACATGGACATGAATGGAAGACTGACAAATGGCACAAAATATTGCTGGATTTGTCACATCATTCTCAGCTACATTTGGTGCATGCTAATGTGTGCCCCAAGTATACCAGACAGCCTTTTGGGTTTGGATGGCAAGAAATTTTCTGGACCAGATTAGGGTTTAGTTTTGCCATGACTGATGGCAGCAACGTTTGTCAAAGACCTTGACTGAGAGCAGAAAACAAGGGCAAAGCTGACTAATCCAATTTCTTGGAAGAAGAACTTATTTTAAAGCATTGTGGAAGACACATGTCCAACCACCAAGAAGTTTGCTCCTTAGGAGTTGTACACTGTTTCTGAAAGCAGTTTCCCTAGTCCACAGGAATAGCTATGATTTTGCCCATCAGTTTTAAATTACAACATGAAGTTGGAAGAATTAAAAATGGCCTTAGAGCAATCCAGGAAGATTTTTCTTTCCCCAGAGTATAAAACAAGGAGGTGGTGATGTGTGACCTCTGTCTGTGGGTGAACCAGCTGGGCACAGTGCACCAAATTGGAGGTCCCATAAAGACACTTTTCCAACCATGGTCATTTTGTCATATTCACCTCAGCACCCAAGTGGGGTGATCCCCTGAGTGGCTGTTTGTAGATTCTTCTAATTAGAAGGTTGAGCTAACGTCTTTCCCGACCTAGGATATTTCATTTAAACAAAGGTGAGATTAACTAATGGAAGCCTGGTAGAAAGCTTCCTTGAAGAGAGGCTGAGAACACTAGCATGACAAGTCTGAGAAACAAAAGTCTGGAGCCAAGAAGGGCTTAATGCTGCATAAGATTTTCTCCCTAATTAGCTGTGCTATTTTAAGCAAGTCCAGTAATCTCCCTGGGCCTTACTCAGTTCCCCATCAACAGACAAGATTTTCATGAGAAACAATTGTTTTTAAACCATCTGTGACCAATGGGCCACTATTTGCCAAAGACATTTTCACTATATATACTGGCATCTTATGGTTGCTAAGACCAATTTTTCTAAACTCCTAAGCACACCTAAGTCTCCCTGAGAAATTCTGATCTAGCGATCTAGGTTGAAACCCTAGGCATCTGCCATTCTAATAAACTTCTGAGGTGACTTTCATTCAAATGTTTTGGGAATCATACTTTGGAAATCTCTGCCCTAAATTTTTGGGAATAAGCTTTGAAAAATCACTGAGTTAGGTGCTCTCTTCCCATACAAACATACTATGAATATTTATAAAGTGGCTGGATACACTGAAGGCAGAAGAGGAGAAGGGGTAACATCAGAAGCCAAACAGGGGCAACCCACAGTTGTGTTTTACTTGATGATAAAATCAAGTTTGCATTTTAGAACTCTCAATGTATGGGTTCCTTTTTAAAATCAGAAAATGTGGTAATCCTGAAGTAAATAGGAGCTGTCCCCTTAAGGCAGAACTTTGACCTCCAGTTTTCCATAGTCCTCACTGGTCCCTATTACACACCCATCCATTGAGATCATCTGTAGACATTTATGTTTCTGTCCCCTACTACTTTTAATAGTAGCCTTGCCAGTAGATGTAGCAAAGAGCTGAATTTGAAAGTTCTCAACCACTAGGAAGGCTAAGAAATCTCCATTCTTTACAATAAGACAGGTCCAATAAACCTCAGGTATCTAGAAGTGCTGCTTCCTGAAGGTGGGGATGACAATCCTAATCTCACAGTCTGTGATTTCTAGATGGTGACTATTTGCTGTTTGTGAAGTGTGTGCTCAACTTTACAGCCCTTGTCATTCTTGTAGGTGTGCTGATGTGGGAAGTCTTCAGTGAAGGCAAAATTCCATATGAAAACCGAAGCAACTCAGAGGTGGTGGAAGACATCACTACTGGATTTCGGTTATACAAGCCCCGGCTGGCCTCCCCACATATTTACCAGGTCATGAATCAGTGCTGGAAAGAGGTCAGTAGAGGAACTGGTTTCCATCTGCAAATTCATGTTCTGTCTCCTTGAGAGAAAGGGGTCCTCTTAGAGAAAGAGGTTGCAGGGATGTCTAAGACACATTAGTAAGAAAGTGACTTTGAGTTGAGCATCGACTCTTGTAGAGAAGTTCCCCATCTGGAGAAGAGCAGTCAGTGACCTTAAATATTATTTGATCTGCTACATCATGTCATAGCCACCAGGTTACGATCAGAGAAAAGGGGGTCAGGCTGATGTCAATGTCCTTTTTTTTTCCTCTTTTTTTTTTTACATCATTCTTAATTTTGTGCATTTTTTCATCTCAGTGGTAATCCCCATGGACTTCCCACCACTTTACCTGTGTGCCATCACCATAATCCCATGCGCTCTTCCCACCCCAGTTTTGATCTCATTCCCCTCTCCGCCCCATAACATGTCTCTGGTTTAAAGTTGTTCATTGTTTTCAATTTTACTTTATTACATTTGCTTCTTTCTCCACCCCTCCCCCACTCCCTAGTCTCTTATGCTCTTGCTATGTGTGAAACCCTCTGGTATTTTTCTTTTACTTTCTGGCTGATTTCACTAAGTATGATCCCTTTCAGCTCCATCCATTTATATGGGTATAACACCATGAAACCATTACACCTTCATGAAATTAGTTCTGTAAGTTGATGGACTTGGGATGTGAAAATATTGAAATGACTTAAAGATACTTTATTCACTTGGCAATTCAGAATGAGCAGCCTGATCCTGCAGATGTCTCAATGAGCCCACACATTGGTTGCAGGTTGTAGCTTGAGTCACATCAGTGTGGGTCTTAAACGTCCTTTGGTACATTACAAAACTACATTTCAACCCCACAGTTGAAAGTGGCTGAAATAAAGAGTTAACACAATTCAGATCATTAAGGATAACAAGACTGAATTAAAAATGTGTAGGATACTTGGGTTTTGTCCCAGCTTGATTGTCATTAATCTTGGACAATTCTCTGAACTTCTCTTATCTGCTGCTAAGAAAATTCAGTGATGCTTGATCAGTAAGTTCATAGAGCTTCTGTGATCAAAGAACCAAACAAAGCAAGACATAAACAAGGGCACAAAGTAAGCCCACTTTAAAAGAGTGAAATATTATGTTACAATAATAGCTGACTTTTATTTAGCATAGTTTTCTTTTTAAACGCTTATTGATTTTTTAAATTAATAGAATTTCTTAGAAGTTTTAGATTGACAGAACATTCCAGCAACTAATATAGAGTTCCCATATACCTTCTTTCCCTATTAATAACAATTTGCACTACTGTGGCACCTACATTACAATTGTAATTAGCCACTATTAATTCCTTGGTGTTAACTGACACCCATATTTTATATTAAGGTTTGTTTCTTTGTATTGGACAGCTCTGAGTTTTGATACATCCATAATATCATGCATCTGCCATTACAGCATCGTACAGAATAGTTTCAGCACCCTAGGTCTCCTGTGCTCCACCTCTGTATCACTTCCTCCTTCTTCTCAGTTCTCTAGCAACTGTTGACCTTTCTATTGTTCAGTTTGGCAGCATGTAATAGAGTTGGAATCATACAGATTTTGCCTTTTCTGATTGGGTCCTTTCACTTAATAATATGCATGTAATGTTCTTCTTTGTCCTCATGTTTTCATAGATAGCTAATTTCTTTTTAGCACTGAATCACATATCACTGGTTTGGGGTAATTGTAAATTAAATGCTATAAACGTTGTATGCAAGTTTTTGTATGGACATAATTGTTCAGTTTAATTGGGTAAATAACTAGGAATGGGGTTGGTGGATCCTATGGTGAAACTAGATTATTTTGTAAGAAACTGTCTAACTGAGTCCCAAAGCAATGACACCAGTGAACATCCCCACCAGCAATAATGAGCAAGGAGCAAGAGGAATTTGCTCTTCCTTGCTCTCATTTGGTGTTTCTGGTATTATGGATTTTAGCCAATGTAATAGGTGAATGGTGGCATCTCCTTGTTTTAATTTGCAATTCCCTTATTATATCTGATGTTGAGCAACTCTTCTTCTGCTCATTTGCATCTTTGATCTTCTTTCATTATCACTTATTGTAAGATGCATTTTTTTTTTAAAGATTTATTTATTTATTCATACAGAACTGGGGTACAGGCCAGAGGCTCAGGGACGGTGAGAGGCTTCACCAGAGACAGAGTGGGGAGCAGAACAGGCAGATTGACGAAGTACACTGCTGAGGGGAGCAGCGGGCGGGTCAGGAGAGGTCTGGCTCGCCATGTGGTCTCCTCCGGGGCAGGCGGCAGGCGGGAATCGAACTCATGCGGAAGTTGCTTCAGATTCTCAGTGCTGTGCTTTAACCCGCTGCGCCACCAGGGAGGGCCGTAAGATGCATTTTTATTCATGACTATTTTTCACAACAATCTCGTGAAATTGATACTATTTCTATCCCCCTTTTACTAATGATAAAGCTGAAATTCTTTCACTTGCTCAGGGTCACACAGCTAATGAGTACAAAAGCTGAGATTTCAGAAGCAGGTCACGTGGGTCCAGAATACCTGCTGATAACAGCTAGGACTGAATGGCCTCAAGTACAATATACATGGACGCTTACTTAAACAGCAGGAGGTGTTGCTGCTGAATTCTGGCTTGCTTTGGAATTCTCAAGAGTGTGCAAGGACAGAGAACTCACAGAATTCTGTTTTTGTCTCTCTAGAAACCAGAACACCGGCCACCTTTCTCCAGGCTCTTGACCCAGCTGGCCGAAATGGCAGAATCGGGACTTTAGCAGACGCTCATTGCCAGCAAGGATGCAGATCCTGACAGGGCAGGAAGCCCTCCTTCTCTAGAGCATTAAAAACTGCCCCGGACCGAGGTCACCCCAAATGCAGGTGGCCTGTGTGTCTGTTCCTGGAGTACTGCAGAGGTGGGGGGCAGCCACCTAAGGGCCTCCTGGGGGCCTGCAGAGCCTCATGTCATGTGCTCAGCTTCCATCTGACAGTGTCCTTTCTTGCATTTCTTCTTAAGAGAAGGGCAGGGCAGGACCCTGCAGTATCCTTCTTAATAGTATTATTATTTGAAATATGAATCTGAAGTTTGTGGTCAAGGGACTTTTATTTGACCCACAACACAGAATCCCAGGCTAGGGGGCAAAGACAAGGAATATGACTCTGGAGAGCAGAACCTGTGAATTTCTTAAAGTCAGAGAGAGGGGCTGCATCTCTGACTGTGATGCCCTGAGCCACAGCTTCCTGCCAGAGGGTGGATGGTTGCTCATGTCAGTGGCCGGATATTCTGACAAACAGCTCTGAGAGGTTTCATTCCTCAGAGACGTGCCACCTTTCTCCTTGATGTACTGGGGTGAGAAATGACACTGCACAGTTGGAGCACGCGGTCTCTGGTGTCTGGGCAGGAAGGAGGCCTCAGAGGGGGACCAGCAGTACAAAGAAAAGTCTTGGGCTGTGATACTGAGCACCCTGCCAAGAGGCCATTCTGCTTCCCCTTCTGCACAGAATGTTTCCACAGGCCCCTGAGGCAGGCATGATTGCCTCCAGACTGACCTTGAAGGAGAAACCTGCCTGGTGTGGTCCACCCTCTGGGAATCTGCATCTCTTCCCCTTCATCTTCAGGGCGATGGCAGGGTGTTGGGCAGAGTGCCTTGCAGAGAAACAGGGCTTGTTTGCAGTCTGCAATTTTGTAACTTGAAGGTTGAAGTTCAACACTCCCCTATTCTAAGAGTGGAACAAGGGGTCTGTTCTTGCTCGAACCATCTAGATGGAAAGTGGGTCAGACACTGAGTGGGGTGTTCCTGAGGTGCACAAGGTTTCCTACTGCGGATGGAGTGTTTTGATATGTGCAGTGAATCCCTTCTGGGCCACCAGCACACCCCACACACACACCCGCCACCACGTGTCAGTTCACCCTGAGTTTGCCCCAACCCATGAGATAATGTTCCCAACTTAGAGATAATAGGACAGAGGCTTTAAAAGCTAAGACAGCTGCCCCACGTGACAGTGAGAGGAAGTACTGTCAGGATTCTAGCCCACATCCAGCTCATACTTATGCATCTCTTTATACCTGTTCAACACTGCCTCCTACTGAAAGTGAAAGGAATCTCAGGGGAGATAAACAGCAGAGGGAGGGCGCAGGGAGTCGGTGAAGAGTCAGCATAACACCACCAGGCACTAACCAGGCTCCTGCATGATCCCCTGTGGAGCAAGGTGGTCCTCCAACTTGGACTCCAACCTTCCTCTCCTCATCTCCAACCTCACCTTAGTCAGAGTTCATACCTTTGGGGTGACTCAGCTAATTAACACTTTGATTCTGTCCACCCACAGGAGTCATGTTGCATGAAGCCATTTATAGATGAGCTTCAAAGCAGCTTTTAAAAATTCTCCTGCAGAAGTAGAAATGCTTCCTTTCATTATCCTCCCAACTTTAGGTTGACTGCAGCCTGCTGGAACTCCTTGTGGGGAAGGGTATCCCCTGACATAAGACAGACTTAATTTTTCTACAGTGTTCAGACCAAATTCTTAGATCATTGGTTGGTGTGGCAATTAGCTTTCTGAATCATGTGATATTTTGACTGCTGGGTATTCAGTTGTGTATAACTTTGTTATAATAATGGTGAAACTGGACGTTGAAGATAAAACTCTATCAATTCAGAAGATGATTTTATTCAATTTACCTGAAATCATCCCTGTTTGCTTTCTAGCACTTTGTACATGTTCCTTTTGAATCCTTAGGTGATTTATGAAACATCCTGCCTAAAAGGAAAATGTCAGAATAGACTGTTTTCTGTAGACAGGTTTAGAAAATCACCCCTTGTATGGTATTATCTTGTATATGGTCAGGGGACTCCATTGAACACCTTTTAGCAGCTCCCCTCCTTATGTCCTACCAAAATTATATATATATATATATATATATAGGCTTACTTTCTTCTGCTCACATTTTGGAAATGGTGCCATGTATGTTTCAGAGAATTCCTTCATGAAAGTTATATTTTATGGACTTTGCATTTTGTACCTTTTGAGACTATGTATTTATATTTGGATGGACTGAATATTTATTAGTGTACAGTCATGGCCTGTGTTCACTATAAAAACATTAGCCGTATCTCTGTAAAGCATGTAAAGTTGAAGTTTGAGTCTACAAAATAAAGCTGTACATCTCAGTAAGTATGCTATGTATGGCCTCGGTTCTATATTTATCTAGATATCAAGCAATCAAATTTTTCCTCAAGTAAAAATGGCTGCATGGTTTCATGTACCACAGGTAAGTAAAGCCTCTGTATCCTTCAACAAAGTTTGTTCAACAAGTGATAAGAATCCAGCACTCCTGTGGTCCATCCATGCACTTTCCTGGGTCCTAAAAAACAAAGATGATAAAACAGCCCTTATTTTCAGGAGACTCCAGGCATGGATGGGAAGGTAGAAACACGCCAAGTAAAACTGGATTATGCTCAAACAAGAGAAGAGCACAGAAAAGGTGATGGATCCCACCAGGGGGAGGGCGACTTCCTAGCCTTGCTACTCAACATGTGGCCCCTAGACCAGGCACAGCTTGTGAGAAATGCCAATTCCCCAGCTTCATCCTGAGTGAGCATGTCCATTTTAGCAAGCTCTCCAGGTAATCCACTTTAAAAGTTGGAAAGCACTGATAGAGTATATAATATCTGCCTTTGCTTTGAGGATGAATTATGGGAACTTTGCCGGTAAGTGAATGAGCAGGAATCGGAGAAGTGCTTCCCAGGGAGAGTGATACAGCGGACAGAATGTACTGGGAAGCTATTATCAGTTAATAGCCTCACACTTAGCTAGAGCAGGTGTGTGTGTGTGTGTGTGTGTGTGTGTGTGTGTCCTTGGCAGGCTGAGGTTGAGAGAAGGAGTAGGCAAGTGGAAACAAAAACGATTAACCTAGGCAAGGATCATATTTTAAAAGAACAGAAGAGTTGGAACTTTACTCGCTAGACAGGAAAAGTGTCAGTGAGCGAGATGAGGTCAGATTTGTGCTGATTCAGGCTAGTTGTATTTTCTGCACAATGTGGTAACTGCTTTGGAGAGAGCCCCAGCTGGTAGAGGAGCCTCTTTGGGGATGACTGTGACCTGCTCCAGCTACAGACCAACGCTCACCTGTTCACCACTGCTCTCTACCCTGTGGGCTCTTCCTGCACAGCAGTGAGAGGCAGTTTGCCTCCCTCTTGAAGTCCCTGTGAAACAGAGAAGCAAAGCACAGTAGTCTAGAGGTGTGCCCCTATATTCCAGCTCACTGAGCTCCCAGGCCCCTGCAGGTGCCACTCACACCCCAGAAAACCGCTAGACACCCTGAGAAAGCCTGAGGTTCCACGCTATCCTCTGTTGGACCTACTTATGAGCTTGACTCTCCTCTACAAATGACATAGAGGAAACTGAAGTGAGGTAGAGAAACAGATCTCCCCCTTGAGGACTTCTGCTGTAGCCGGTCTCCCACCGCCATGGCCTCTCCCAGCACCCAGATTCAGCACTTTGAGGAGGGGGCAACCCCATGCTGTGTTTGCAGAGGGAGATCAGATTCCCTGGTGGGGGTGCTCAGGGACCTGGCAGATGAACAATCAGCAGGAAAGCCTGGAGGGGAAGCCATATTTGCCCAGCAAGCATGTTTTTTTTTTTTTTACTTGGAGTGTGCATTTATTTGTGGGCTTTGAGGGAGTTACTGGACACGTGGTGCTCAAGGTAGCTAGAGCTACCTCTTGGTGGCAGTACTATGCATGCGTGTCTGTATGTAGACGTGTGTGTTTGTGTAGGTAAGACTATGTGTGTGTGTCTCTGAGTCTATGTGTCTGTGTGTATATGCCTGTACGTGTGTGTGTGTGTGAATGTGTCTTCAGTGACTTTGAGTTTTTCCCCAAGTTAGTTGGGGTGATGTGCAGTTGGCTTATGGGGTGACCGAATCACCCAGACGCTGCTGGAAGTGTCTGTGACCATTTATTTCATAAACAGTTACCATTCCCTGCTAGAGCCCTGTTAGTGCCCAGGGCTCGCCTGTTTTTGCATAAAGATGTCTTATCCGTTAAGGATCAAACCTTTCACACTCAAATTAGGAGGCTTCAAGGAGGACCTGTTACAAAAGAAGTCTTTAAACCACCGTGGGTCAGGTTTCAAGAACCACAGGAAGTGGTACAGCGGAAAAAACGGCCAAAAAGCTATTTGTACCCCCAGGCCTCTGCGAAGAGGAGGACACTGAACATGGAAGCAGAGACCTGGGAAGGTTTTCTAGAGGTAAAAGGACCCTGGTGAGGGACAGAGGGAGCCCAGGACAGCAATAAGGGAAGAAGCCAGAAGGACAAAGGCCCTGAGCTCTCTCCTCACTCCCCCCAAGATTGGCTGGGCCTCCTTGTTGGCCAATCCCAACGGGAAACCAGAGGCCAAGGAAACTTTAGCAGGCTGTCTACCCAGCAGCCAAGGCCAAGCTCAAGGGGAGAAGGCAGCAGGCAGAGAGTGAAATACATCTGAGGGAGTAAAGTGAAAGTTTGCAGCACACACACCAACCCTCCTATGAGAACCTCCCCGGCACAAGTAAAGAACACACAAACAAAGCTTGATCTTTACTGTTTGCAGATTCTATATGTGCAAATCTGCTACTCCCTTAGATGTATCTGTGACCCCCAAATCGACACCTGTACCCCTTTCTCAGACATCTGTGAGACCCCAAGTGGTGAGAAACTGGCGCTCTAGACCCTTCAGGTGAGGTCCAGGGAGGGAGGTGCCACACTTGCTTCCTGCTCCTTCTCATGATCCGTTTCCTCGC